TATGCGATCCGATTTTTGGTGGAGCGGAATGAAAATAGAAATTGCCAATTTCATATCTAAGTGCATTGTATGTCAACATGTTAAGATAGAACGTCAATGTCCAGACGGGTTACTTCAGTCATTACCGATCTTGGAGTGGAAATGGGAATATATTACCACAAATTTTGTAACAGGGTTGCCTAAGGCACGCTCAGAACATAATACTATCTGGATAATTATTGACCAGCTCACTAATTTCTCTCACTTATTGACTATCAAAATGACCGACCCCTTATACAAGATAATAAGAATTTATATTTGGGAGATAGTCAAGCTACAAGGAGTTCCAGTAACAGTGGTATCTGACAGAGACTCCAAGTTTACCTCTCGATTTTGGTCTAGTTTTCAGCAAGTAATGGGAACAAAATTGTCCCTCAGCACTACATTCCACTCTCAAGCTGATGGACGATCAGAATGACAATTCACTGCACTAGAAGATATGCTCCGAGCTTGTGTTCTAGACTTCGGAGGCAATTGGGATGATCACTTATGCTTGATATTGTTCGGCTACAATAACAGCTACCAAATAAGTATTGACATGAACCCGTATGAGGCATTATATGGCCGACCTTGTAGGTCATCGATCTGTTGGAAAGAGGTGGGTAATAGAAAATTATTTAGCCGATATTTTATAGATGAGATCACAGCTAAGATAGTTAAAATTAGAAAGAACATCCAGACAGCTCAGAGTAGGCAGAAGAGTTATGCGGACACCCGGAGGAGAGACTTAGAATTTGAGAAAGACAATCAGGTGTTTCTTAAGGTTATCCCTTTCAAGGGGATCAGTAGGTTTGGTAAGAGGGAAAAATTAAATCCCTGATTCATTGGATTGTTTGAAATCTTATATAGGATTGGTACGTCCGCCTACAAACTAGCACTACTCCAAAGTTATCCAGAGTTCATAACGTATTTCATGTGTCTATGCTACATAAGTACAACCCGAACCCCTCGTATATCTTATCTCACGAGTCACTTTCACCCTAGGAGGATATATCTTATGAGGAGGTACCGATAGACATTATGGACTAGAAGAGCAGAGTATTTCACAACAGAGAAATCTCCTTTGTCAAGGTCTTATGACAGAATCACGCAAAGAAATAGGCCACTTGGGAGCTAAAATTAGACTTCAAAGCCCAATACCCCTAAATGTTTAACTAGCGAAAGGGCAATAAATTTGATGGACCAAATTTTCTCTTAAGGGGGGAAGGTTGTAACTCCATGGCCCAAAAATTCAGCCCGAGATGATTTTTTCAATTTATAAAATATATATATAAATAATTAAAATTTTATTTTAATTTGAGAAAAAATGAATTAGGTATAAAATTGAACATAATTCAAGGAAAAAAGGTAAAAGTATAAATAATGGGGGTGTTTTTGAACGAAAATTTGAAAACAAGGGGTAAAATTATAAAAAAAAAAGTTTGACTACATGAGACGACTCGGTCAGTAGCCACGACAAGTCAGAACATGTCGCGTGGTGGACACGGTGACATCGGCTCTACGCGAGAGGCCATGCGGGCGATTCGTATACTTGAGCGATCTGACGACCCAAATCGCATCTCGTGTGCACGAATAACCATATGCATTTCTTCTTTAGACGCAATCGAACGGATGAGATTGATCGTGATGGACGATCTAGATTCGTCCATGCAATCAGCCTAAACAGGTAATGATCGGACAACTCTCCTCGCTCCAGGTCAAAGCGGATGGACAGTCAGAATCAAAGAGAAGAAATATATTTAAACCTCTCTTCAGTCGGCCCCGTAACCCTAACTGATAGAGGAGCAATCAAAGAATAAGAAGAAGGGCAGATAGGGAAAGAATCAAATGCCAAAAAAGGAGGACAACCACCCTCGTCGCCGCACACGAACCATTATCAACCGCATAGAGAGGTAAAACTTTCTCTTTCTTACTCAGAATTTGATCCCGAGTCTCTCTATGCCCATATTAGAGCCAAAGAGCTGAGGGGAGAGCCGAAAATCACGAGCAAAGTTCGGCCAAGCTGCCGTAGCCAAAAATCCAAAACCCTCTCTGATGACCCCCTTCTCGTTTCTCATTTCGTGTAATTTTTTTACCATCGTGTTCTCCATCCTTTTCTGGTACAGGTTACCCAAAAGGGAGCTTCAGTTATGAAGGAGGACCGGTGGAGCCGCTGCACCTAGAGACCTTATGCTAGTAGGATTTCAGTTTTTTGTCTTTTTTCAGCTAACTGAGGCCTCCTAACTTGATTTTTGCAGGTTCACGTGCAAAACCAGCCAAAACTGGCTTAAACCAATCGAAACTGACTAGACTGATGCAGACCACCACCGTAGGGCAGAGCCAGTACTGGAGCATGGCGACGGTGCCGTTCCAGAACTCTAATATTGGGTGAAAATGCTTTAAAACGCTTATTTTTAGCCTTTTGGTGTATTTTTGGATACGTGACAAGTATTTTAATTTTTGCAGAAAAAATATAAGAAACTCAGGAACCGCCAGGAGGTGCAGTAGAAAGTACAGCATTTCGGACGTTGATCTAGGGAAAGAATCCCTCACCATTTTTTTCTATTATGATAAATTGAAACTTAATAATCAATAATGTTATGTTTTGTAAAAATTAGAAAACTTTAAAGTTAATTACAGGTCACTAGTGAAACCAGAATCGGTCAATGCATATTTGCCCTAATTTAATGTTTATCCTCTCCTATATTGCTTGAAATGCTTACTATTATATTGTGTGCATTGAATTGTTAGTTTAAATTGCTTTCTTGGTTATTTGATTTATCTAACTGGATAGCCCTCATTTGTTGGTTTGTTTTGCAATAAATGTCTCAATTATGCTTTCCTGATTTATGTATCGTCTCTTTGCATAACTTTTATTGATTTGTGAATATAAGATGTTGGTATGTAATTGGTGATTGTTTGATAAAATAAACCTATACATGAAAAGCTTACGGGATACCTTAAGAAAGGTTAGACGGACCCGGTACATAGAGAAAACTCTACAGTGAACATTACCTCAACCGCATGGGGCTGAGGAGTCTCATACCAAAAAAGTTAGGAGATATGGTTCACTCTTGTATTAGACAGGGTATCGAGGTGATGGTAGCTTTGACACTCATTATCAGATAGGTTATGGGGACGACCGGTTAATTGACAAATTTAGATATTGGATTCACGCGTAGGGCGACATCCCTATGGGTCCCCAAGGGTACCAGTAAGTAGGTAAAAAGGTAAATTGCTATTCTTGCTCACTTAGATATGAAGTCACAATGTTATTTGAGTTATTGTATTCGTAGGTCGATTTTTGGAACTCATAGTGGTAAGTATGGAATAAACAATTTTTATTTTAAATGAATTTTTTTGAATTAATAACTTCATTAGTTGTTTCATAATTTTTACCAACCTTTGATTTTTCATATTAGTTATTAATGTGATATTTTTACTGGATTAGTGTAGTTTATCCCCCTATTTAACCATTTCAGATCAAGAAGACCAAGATTCAGATCCTGAACAGTAAGAAAGTTGCGAGTAAAGGTTACCTTCCAGACCCTATCAAAGTTGCTAGTGGAGGTTAACTCCATCGAATTATAGTTTCATTTCTGTTTATGTTATTTTAACTGTTTTTAGGAACATTTCTGTAGCCTTATTAGCAATCTCAATTTATTGCGTAAGGAATGTAAACCCTAATTATTATTTGCTTCCACTATTTTAATATATATTCATTTCCTTAAGATTTCAGACCTTTACATAATTAGTATTCAATTTGATCCAATTTGGTCTATTCCGGTCTATCTTAAAAATGATAAATATTTTTATTTACAGTAAGAATCAACAAACATTATATCTATTGAATTTGAATGATATAGGTTAATCATATATATTTGTATTATTATCATTAATTTGTATCCTTTTTATCAAATATAAATTTAAAAATATTAATTACAATAATATTGTAAATAGTCACACATGATAAATTTGAATACACATTATTTATAAAATAAATAAGATAAAAATAAAAAATAAATTGTTATTAATTACAAGAACATGTCCCAATCATTATTAAGTATCTCTGAAGTATATAATATAAGTATATTAATAATTATAAATTCAAATACATGCTCTTTTATATAATTTAAATATTATTAATAACAAAAAAATTATTTTTATCATTAGTAAAAATTTATTATTAAATGTTATACACAATATATATTAGTGAAGTAAATACAAGTAAATATTTTTCTCTATTATGAATTAAAAAAGGTATTAATTACTATATTTTGATTTGGCTTAACGTGGTAACACCAAGGTCTAGCTTTTGAATTATCTCTATATATTATATCGTCTATGTATTAATGACCATAAATGCAAATACATGTATTTTATATAATTAACTAAAAATATTAATTATTATATGATAACTTGACCTAATATGATAACACTACTGGCTAGTTATATAACAAATTTATATAAAATTTGAGGGATGAAAATTTTATTCCCTAATATTTTCCATTATATTTAATAATTTTTTAATTATATGTAACTCCAAATATCACCCTAGCTTTGG